TTAGGAAACAAGAAATTTACCATTTTCAACAACTTTCTTCTTATACAGTAATTGGGATAAAATTCATTTATCAAATCATTAACAAATCAGATAAAGTGTGTGTGATGTATTATATATGTAACATTAATACATTATAATATAATCTATAACAATAAAGCCAGAACTCAACTTATAATTGCCCTCACAATCTCATATCATTATTTTCATCAACAAAGCTTTTTTTTTTTTCAGACAGAAACAAATCAAATCAAAGACTAATATGGAAAAATCATGCAGGCTTGGAAGATACCAGACTCGACTTTATATAGAGACATTGAGCATTATCCAAGTTCCACCTTAATCCCAAGTATTCTCATTATTCAACTGGGTTCTCCTATCTACTTTGCAAACTCTTCCTACATCAAACACAGGCACGTAATATTTCTTCTCTCTCTGTATATATATATATATATCATGATGATCCAAGTAATTGACCCTTTTTTATGAATTTAAAAACTATGAAATAGGATCATGAGGTATATTCAATACGAGGCGAGTTCTAGTACTGGGGAAACTATAGAGCATATCATCCTCGATTTATCAGGTTCGTATGTCATTATGTTTCCAATGAAGTACTTTTCTAGGTACATATATATTTTGTAACTGCTATTGAAGGATTATTGCACTAAAAAAATGAAGAAGAGCAAATTGAAAACCTGGGCACTGGGCAGACGAACTGAATAAGATTTAAGAGTGGAGACTGGAGACAGAGATGAGTGAACAGCAAAACAGGTGAACAAGACAGATAAAGTCGAAGAACATGCAATCTATCAACACGCACAGCTGGAGTTGACAAACGCTGAACGGACGATATCGTGCCAGACTGCCAGTGGAGACTGATGGCGAACGGTCGAAGAGAGTGACTATGAGAAATACTCGAACAGGGAGAGGGGAAAGAGGAGAATGACGGCAACCATAAAGATTGTGTGAGGGCCGAGGAGAGAACGACGGCAAGCAAAGGTGTGGCAGTGTGAGGGGAGAACGACACAACGAGAGACGAGATTAGAGAATGAAGGTTGAAGATTGAGCTGTGTGGCAGTATTGGTTTGTGCTTCTGCCTTATGGGACGCTGAGTCGCTAATCCAATGATGCTATTGCTGATTGCTGAGCCTGAGACGCCACCGGGACGCTGGAGTTCGGACTCTAGAGTGGAGAGTAGAGAGACGGCTAGGGTTAGAGATTAGAGAATAAGAGGTGGGAGCGGGAGGGACGCTGTCGCTAACTCTGAGTCTGCACTGCAATGCTGATTGAAATGCTGGAGTTGGGCTGTGGACGCTGGGCACTGGGCAGATGGACTCAAGCAGACAGCAGATCCACAATTTGGCTTCAAAAAAAAATATATGAGCACATTTCGGGCTGGGCCAAACGGGCAGGGCAGCATACCTTGCCCGTTGCCCAGCCCTGCCCGAATATCAGCCCAGCCCAAAAATGCCCAAATCATCTTGGGCTATTTTTTTTGGGCCGGGCTGGGCAAAATTTTATCGGGTTTGGGCGAGCGTGTCGGGCAACTGGGCTCCATGAACACCCCTAACTTCTTTGCTATCACTATTATTTCCTTGCTGCTCAAGGTTACCCTTGCATTGTAGTTACATCACATCCCATCGAGAGAGTATTTAAATTTGTCAAACAAAAAAAATATAAAATATTTTATTTTAATCAAAACTAAAGATTACAACAAGAGGATGATTAATGATAATTAAAGATTATACATGGATGCAACTTGTTATGCCCTGCATTTCACGGGATCCTAACGCCCTTTGTAATATGGAAGTGGGGTCTCTCTACTTCTTTTTTCTTCATTTCTCTCCACTTCTCCCATCCTCATCATTCATTAATTTTTTTATTTAAAAAAATTATTTAATAAAAAAATTTGATGGAGACGGGAGAAGTGGAGGAAAAGAAAGGAAAAAAAGGGAAGAGACCCTGGTCGTTGTAATACCCCCCACCGTTAGGAGTAGCCTTACAGGCTGCTGGACCTAGTCCATGTGGCAACACAAACTCTTGTAAAAGAAAAAAAATATATTTAGGTCCTATGTAAGTTATTTATTTATAAATAAATCTTATGAATATAAAAAAAAAAGGGACCAAATTTTTTGGAATCTAAACGTAATTTGAATTTTAAGGGAAAAGACTTCTAAACGCCTATATACTGAAACAAACAGGCCCTATGCCAATTCCACATTCCTTCATCCTCACCGTCCTTGTCGCCTTCCCTCTTCAGTGACGTCAGACTGCTAAACCTCTCTCAACAAGTTGCCTTCGTCCATCGCTTCGTTCAGGGCTTTTGCATACCATCGCGCCGTTGCCTTCGTCCGTAGTTGCCGTCTCATCGATGCAGCTTTGCCGTCGTTGTCATTGTCATTGACTCCATTGCCATCGTATTTAATTTGCTTGACAGCCCTGGACGCTTTTTCTTGCCCCTTTCTCTTGGTTTTTATTTTTACGTGTTGGTTGAATATCATACTCCTTATTTAGTTGGTTTTGCCAATGAGATATCTTAGAAGAAGAATGTTATTGGTTATGGATACACTTGGAAAGAAATTGCTGCTATGAGATATTTTTTGGGATATATGAAGTACAGAAGTAGTGGGATTTTGTATTAGTCAAAAGACTCTTAAGTTTCTTTTTTTACAAAAAAAAAATTGCTGTTGTTTTTTTCATTTTAATGCAATGTCCAATTCTTTTTGTCTTTGTTAGAATCCCCGAGAAATAGATATGTTTTAAGATTGGAATTTGGACAGTGGGCAGAGGAAGGGATAGGTACGAGAATTTAGAGGTCCTAGAACTTCAAAGGCTAGAAATATTTGGAATAGTCAAGTGTTTTTGAGGTCGTAAATTGTTTCTTGTTAGCATTCCATTGGAAGACATAAAAAACTCTTTGCAATATTTGTATTAGGCTAATCTTATAGATGAGTTAAATATGACTCACTCACAGTTTGTCAGGCTTTCATATTACTCATTCCTATACTATATATAAATTATTTGTAAATGCTTTATCAGAATAAAAAAGTTAGTTAATTCATGATATTTTTCTACAAAAATTTAGCTAATTTTTATTAAATGTGTCATTTTTAAAAAATATTATTCTTTCTATTAAAAAGTATAAGATATTTTTAATTAAATCAACCCTTAATAAAATAGTTATTTATCTTTAAACTAATATCATCTTTTCATATTTATCCTTATTTAATTGAGTATTTTATTTTAAAATAAATATAAAATAATTTATTCATTATGGACACTTAAAAAAAACACAATAATTTTACTATGAAACACTAAAATTTTTTTATATTTTTTAGCATCCAACTTCTTAAAAAATATCTTTTAAATAAAAAATTATTTTTTATAACATTTTACTCCACTTAGAAAATTACAAATAAAGTATAATAAAATAACTACTTGTTATTTTTTTATGCAAAGTGATTTATAATAAATTATTATTGTTTTTAAAAACATTATTTATATATAGGCCGAAAGAGTATTTAAATCCGTCAAACTTAAAAATAAATAAATAAAAACAATTTTAATCAAAAACTAAAGATTATAATAATGGGGGTAATAAATGATAAAGAGAATCCCATCTAGCTCTTTTTGAAAAAATTAATTATACATAACAATTAATAATAAGTTATATTTAACAAAAATTAATGTTCTTGTTTTAATAATAATTTATTTAACATTAATTTTTATTTATGATTAATTTATTTAAGAAAAGCTGGGTGTGATTCTCCCTAGATGATAATTGAAGATTGTACATGGATGCAACTTGCTGTACCCTGCCATGCACGGGATCCTAACGGCCTTGGTTATAGGACCTACTCCACGTGGCAACACATACTCTGGGAAAAGCAATCAAAATCATTACAACCCAGCCATCTAAGCTGGCCGGTTAACTCTTGCCACGTGGTGACTTGAGCTCCGACTCTTCAAAAATCACGCCGTCATCTGATCTGTGATCACGTGTTGATTCTTTTCTCGTCCAAAAGCCGTTAATCGCGCCTTGCTGTTGCTGGGCCTCTCACGTCTCTATAAATGAACGAAGCTTCTCCAGGTCACTTGGAGATGATGAGAAGAACAAAGATAAGTTTTTTTTTTCTTTTGTTTTTTTTTTGGGTGAATGTTTTTAGAGTATTTTTAAAAGTAGTGTATTATATTATCAGCAATTGAAAATTTGTCCCTCAATCTTTTAATAATAACAAGTCAGTATTATTTTTTAATAATAATATTATTTCTTACCCTTTAAGCTAGTTTTAATTATAATTAAGATGACCGAAAGTCCAAAGCAATATCCCCCAACAAGCATCCAAATGTTTACTCAACAACATTAAAATATCAAAACTAAAATTAATGAAACAAACAAAGTAACAATTAAAGCTATTAATTATGATCGATCTTTAAAAGATCAAGATCTAAATAGACTAACTTTTTTAAGTCTAATTACATTTTAGAGGTTTATTTTACATAACCCAGCCCTTGTTCTCAAGGTTAAAGAGCCTCAATCCTATTTTTTTCATTTTTCAAATTAAAAATTTAAAAAAACATATTTAAAATCTCAAAAAATTATTACATATAATATTATGTTTAAAAAAATAAATTTAAATTAATTCACATAATAATAAACTTAAATTTAATAAAAAATAGTAATATATCAAAATCAACTCTCATAATAATTAAATTTTATTAAATATTGATGATTTTTTATTGTTATTAACATCAATATAATTTAATTATTTTTTTTTGTAGAATCTTATTAGTGATTAAAGTTTTTTTAGTATAGTATTTATTTTTTTATATTAAACTTTTAAAAAGTAAATATGTAAAAAGCCAAATCCATTTAAACTTAATTTATTATTTTATACCTTAAAAGTAAGAACTTGATGTTGAATATTTTTGAGCTTGAAAGAATCAATTTGATTGACAGCTCCAGTAATAACGTCGCTGAGCAGTGAGAGAATAGCGGGAGAGAGAGTTTGGCTTCCTCGTTTGCTTCAACATTCCAAGTCATTGCGCTGCGACCTCCACTTGCTGCACATGAATTTCCTTGAAATTCTCAACTATTTTGATGTCAATTCCCTATTCTGCACCCTTCATTTCCTCAAAATCCCACCACCTTCCACGCGTCTCTCTCCTCTTCGTCTTCTTCGGCCCTCCAAATATATAAATAAAAACATTCAAATCAACTGGAGCTATCCACCTATCTTTTATCTCTTCGTAACGCCCCTTCGAAAGTTCACGCTCTTGCTCCTTGCAGAGTTCTGTAGGCAATCCCGATTTATCAATGAGGTACTTTTTATCTTTTGGTTGTATTCAATTCTGATCACTGAATATTGAATTCGATAACGCTTCACTTGTAACAATACTAACCAGCGTCTGGAAAGAATACATGACACAAATTTAGTTTAGTATATGGTTGCTTCTTCTTTCTTATGTAAATGTTATTGGGCACTGGAGTCCCTTTCCTTTTTGTCTTTCGCTTTCGTTCTCTCACTCTCTTTTTTACATACGTGATTTTCGATCGGAACTCATTGGTTTTCTTCAAATACTAATAACGAAAGAGATAGCCGATTGTGGAAAGGAACATGGGCTTTTTTCCTGCTTGTAATTGAAATGGATGGATGTGTCTAATTCTACGGTGTTTTCTGCTTTCCTCTGCCGTAGGATTTCAGCAATTTCTCTTGATTAAACAGTTCAATGCCTGGATTAGCGATGAATGATTTAAATAAGAATAGTGCATCAGATGAACGTAGTGGGGGTTATACAACCCTTAAGGAGAATTTTACTCAGCAAGCATCTCCTAGAAGTCCATTTAGCTCTAGTAATTTCCGCAGTGGCTCTATTGATCTGCCTATTGATGGTTTGGTGGACAACTCTATCGAGCAATTGTATCGCAATGTGTGTGACTTGCTGAGTTCTGATCACTCACCCTCCAGGGTTAGTTTTTACTCATATGGTGAAGAGGCAAGGATCGATTCAGAATTATGCCATCTAGTTGGAGATTTTGCAGATTTGGAGATTACAAAGGAGGTAATTACAGAGTCCAAAGTGGAAAGCGATACTAGCGGATCAGCTCCTGAGAATGATATTGCATCAAATGGTAACAAGTATGTAAAGAAAGAAGACATGAACCAATCATCCAAATCAACCTATAAAGGCAAAAACTTGCGTGAAAAGCCACCCATTGACAAGAGGAATGAGAAGAATTCCGGAAAAGGAAATCCTCTTTATAGTCTGAGGAATCAGAGGAATGTTGGTTTGCTTGGTGTGAAGCCGCAGAATGGGCTTGAAGGCCTTATTGATGACCCAGACCTGGGACCATTTTTACTTAAGCAAACAAGAGAAATGATCTCTTCAGGTGAGAATATGCAAAAGGCTCTTGATTTGGCTCTTAGGGCTCTGAATTCGTTTGAGATATGTGCAAATGGGGAACCCAGTTTACAAATGGTAATGTGTCTGCACGTCTTGGCAACAATATACAGCAAACTAGGACAACAGAATGAAGCCATTCCTATTCTCGAGCGTTCTATTGATATTCCTGTTTTAGAATATGGCCAAGATCACGCACTAGCTAAATTTGCGGGGTGCATGCAATTGGGTGACACTTATGCGATGATGGGGCACATGGAGAATTCGATATCTTTCTATACACAAGGTCTGAAAATCCAAAGACAAGCCTTGGGAGAAACAGACCCAAGACTTGGTGACACATGTCGCTATGTGGCCGAGGCCCATTTCCATGCACTGCAGTTTGAGGAAGCCAAGTATCTTTGTCAGAATGCTCTTGATATTCACAGGAAAAATAGGCATACCACTTCCCTTGAAGAAGCATTGGACAGGAGACTCATGGGACTCATATGTGACTCAAAGGGTGATTATGAAGTTGCCCTTGAACATTATGCTTCAGCAAGCATGATCATGGCAGCTAATGGCCAAGAATTAGATGCAGCTTCAGTTGACTGCAGCATTGGAGATGCCAATTCATTTTCGGGACGCTATGATGAGGCAGTTTTGGCTTATCAGAAAGCACTCACAGTGTTCAGGTCAACAAAAGGAGGTGGTCACGCAGTTGCTTCAGTTTATGTCCGTTTAGCGGACTTGTACCACAAGATAGGAAAGCTTAAGGAATCAAAATATTACTGTGAAAACGCAGTCAGGATTTTTGGGAAGACCAACCTGAGCCCTTGTATCCCCTCAGAAGAGATTGCAAGTGGGTTAGTAGAAGTTGCTGCTACATATGAATCAATGAATGATATAGAGCAGGCAGTGAAGTTACTGAAGAAGGCGTTGAAGATATATGATAAAACCCATGGTCAACAAAGCACCAGCGCGGGAATTGAGGCCCAAATTGGGGTTATGTATTATATGCTAGGGAACTATTGTGATTCTTACAACAGCTTCAAGAGTGCCATTGCCAGGTTTCGTGCCAGTGAACAGAAGGAATCTGCTTCATTTGGGATTGCACTGAACCAGATGGGTCTTGTCTGCGTGCAGCTTTATGCAATAAACGAAGCGGCAGAAATGTTCCAAGAGGCCAGGAGTATATTGGAACAAGAATATGGCCCATATCACCCCCACACCTTAGGGGTCTGCAGCAATCTAGCGGCCACTTATGACGCAATGAGCAGGTAATTAACTCACGTTCCTTCTACATGCCTGAAATACTGAGAGTCGTCAGCGATTGTTTTTCATTATGATCATCAGAAAAGAATTCATTTCATTTATGGAAACTAAAGTTTACCTATAAAATTTATACATCAAAGAAGATTTAAATGCTCGTTGAATCTTGATCTGCGGTGAACAGTGAACTCATAAATATCATTAAAATCAACAGTAAAAATCACATTGAAAGATATACTTAATTTCCCGTGCATTGCACGAGTGCAAATACTAGTTAAGTTTAATGTTAAATTTGTAGGAAGGAAATCCTCCTTAGCTTGCTGTAATATATTCTTACATATTAATACAATATAATTTCTGGCTTAGAAAATTGTTAAACTGGAGGAAATGTTTCTTTTTAATACAAAATTATTAAACCGGTATTCTATTATTGCATTTTAAAAATTAATGCATGGATTTTGCAATTAAATTTTGATATAAAGTTACATACGGATGTTAACATCATCTTGTTTCCTATGGTTTTCGCAGGGTGGACGATGCCATAGAAATTTTGGAATATGTGATTGGCCTGCGAGAAGAGAAGTATGGGAGAACTTCAGATTTGGACGATGAGAAGCGCAGGCTGGCAGACTTGCTGAAAGAAGCAGGGCGGGCACCAATAACAAAACATCGATGACATTACAAAAGACAAATTTCGGCCAATTCTAACTTTAAAAGACGACGACATAGACATCACTTAAAGCAGGTATTGTCACGGACAAAGGAGCAAGGCCCAATCAAGGTTCTAGCCCAGCAGATGCGACTGATGCGAGCGGAGCTTGGGTGGATGTAGTTATTGGGCAGAGACGCAGTTGTCGAATTAAAAGACCCACGTGGAAGCTTAGATCCATGGTTGACGTAAATGATAAATGAGCGAGAGAGGAGTTATGATGGTTATTCTTCTGACTCTCTCTCTCAGTGGGCAGTACTATCTGCATTTCCTGAATTTCCGTTACGCTTTCTGCTATCACCGAATTGTCATGATCCATGTTGAGGCAATAAATAATTCATTTCATTCCATTCGTGATTTTGACTGTGACAGTAATGCATGTAGAATATGATGAAATTGATTGTTTAACTTCTTTCGATTATCATTTTTGCAAAGTTGGAAGGGGGAAAAAAGATATAAGTGGAAATAATCTGCACTTCCCCGTCCCCCATTTATCACAAGATTTCCGAAGCTATCTGCTTTTGCATTGATACCCTATACTGATCACAACACAAGGTAGTTTCTCATTTATTTTCTTGCTACTTGTAGAATAAAGATAATTTCACTAATAAAAAAAGTATAGTTATAGACGAAAGGAATTTACATTCTTGCCTCTAGTAGAACCAGACATTCAATAAATTATCAAGCACAGGATATACCTTTTTTCCTCCCCAACAAGCTCAGATATATATGCATATATGACAAATAAGGAATGTTATCTTGCCAATAATCCTACAAAATCAATTAATGTACCCATTAGGATTTCAATATAATGTATTCATACATACATTAGGATTGAGTGGATTTGATCTCAACCCAGCCTGATCCAATCTCTCAAGTCAACCCTACAGACAAGACTAACATGGTACAAGATTGGTTGAGCACCCTTGCATCTAATGGCTTGTAAAGAATATGATTTTCATTATAAATACATTCGCAACTATTATTTTATGCAAGACACAAGAAAAACTTTTTTAAAACTGAATTCACTCTTCTAAACATTTAAACCTATTGAAACATGGTTAAATATTCAAAAAACAAAAACAGAAGTTATGAATCCCGATAATGCAGCTTGAAAAATGTATTTTGCTCATAAATAATGTAACTTTCTATAAATTTATATTGATAATTACGAATTATTTTTAATTAATATTGAAGTTTTGAAATTTTATACTAATGATGGATATGGATAGGGACTCGACAGCAACCAGCCAAGGACACGAAAATTTTGAATAAAATGAAATACATGTATACCACACACAAACATGCAGGATACCAGGCATATCATGATTCATCAGGCTTTGGTTCAAGAATAACAGGGATCTTCCGCTTCTGGTCACCTCGCAATACTTCGACGATCACCTGGATATGAACATCATTCAAAATCAAAAACTCTTTACTGAAATTACAAATTAGTTATTTAGATTTAAGTTTCCATAAACAGGTTGATTAAACAAACATCGCAACAAAAATAAAGTTCAAATAAAAACGGATTAAGTTAACGAGGTCTTGTGCATGTTTTGGCTTCTTACTGCTCAGGTTTCACTTGACTCAGCGAAACCTTTCGCTGTCTGGATTGACTTTTAGGACAGACGTTTGACACGTACGTTCCAACAAAAAATGGAAAAGGGAAAAAGTAAATAACATGTCTGGATTGAAATTTTTATTATTGTCATTTTTTAAACAAGAATGGCCAGTGGAGAATATTGCTAAAAACAGAACTGTTTCTCGCTGAGGCAGGGGGCTGAACACAAATAACATAGATAACATTTTAGATAGAGTCCAACTTCTGCCTTAACAGTATGATTTATTCTGCTACACGTATATGACATCCGGTCTGAACCAGCGTAAACTGCAACAAGATACAAGTAATGCAGATAATTACATGTTTTACATCTATTTTTTTAAAATTGCAGTTTTTTTTTTATATTTTTTCAGCAACAAAAATTGCAGAGTTCAATTTAAGTTTTTCTAAAAGAAAATTGCACTCAATCAAGGGCATCTAAATTTTGCAGGAGCTCAAGATAGAGAGACTCAACATTGCTACAGGAAATAACAGTAGGACCATACCTTATCGTCCACTTTACACTGATCAAGAATTCTGTACAAATCACTTCCATTAGTAACCCTTTTACCATTCACAGATGTTATTATGTCGCCTAAAATGAGTCTACCATAGGCATCACCTTTGGTCGATTGCAAGCCCTACCAAAAAACCAAAAAATTTTAAACTTCGATGAATTTCGAAGAGAAGGGTATAATACTATAAGCTGACATGACAAATAAAGGTTAACAGGATAAGAGTATGCATACAGCTTTCTCAGCTGGACTGTCAGCAGAAGCATCCAAGACAAGCACTCCACTTACACCCAACTGCTCCACAGACTGATCGGGTGCAAACTTGATCCCTAAAACAGGTCTTGTGACCTTCCCAAACCTCACCAATTGATCAACGATACCACTTACCTAAATATATGAGACAAGTGATTAGTCATCAAATTTAAAGGATGATGAAAACAGAGCCGCACTTTTCCTCATATCCAAATAGTAACTTCATATAAAGCAAGGTTTAAGTTAGAACTCACTGTGTCCACTGGAATAGAAAATCCAACGCCAGATGATGCACCAGATGGGGAATATATAGCTGTGTTTATACCAATATGGTTACCAGAACTATCCAATAGTGGTCCCCCACTGTTCCCTGGGTTAATCGCAGCATCAGTCTGTATAACATCTTGAATTGGCCGACCAGTTGCAGCTGAACTAATTTCTCAGCGAAGTCCACTATTGAGAATGTAAAAACAGGCAATTAATACAAAAGATAGATAGTGCAAAAACCAACACATGAACTTTTCTATTCACCATAAAACACATCTTTCCCAAAAGGTAAAGGATAAAGGAAGAAAGAGAAAAAATTACCCAAAAAAGGAAGAAAAAAGAAAAAAGGTTTTCTAGTATAAAGCATTTCAGCAAAGGGATTAGAGGTATAAGTCCTTGCCCATGATTTTCTTGACTTGTTACTTTCTCTTTTATATTTTCATCTGTGCTTTTAGTTTCAAAAGAATTTGCTTTAAACGTGGGTATGAATTCTCTAGCATTCTTCGCTGTTTAATCTTATCTTTAGTTGCCTGATTAAGATTTTAGATATCTTTTCCTTCCACACCCCACCATCTTTCCCTCATTTATATGACTTTAGAATACCCTCATAGACAGGCTATTGGAGGCTCAGAGTTAATGCACTATATTTTAGGGTCAGTGGAGAACAAATACTAGTCATGGACAAAAGTAATTAGATGTAACTCAAATATGCACACCATTTGACCCCAAAACTAAAACAAAAACTAAAACTAAAATGGAAGATACGCATCACACTATACCAATTTGATAGGGATCTATTTTGACATTGCTTTGCTTTAGTAAAATGTCGTATACATGCCTGGATTTTTTTTTTTTTTTTTGGGTACATGTAGATGCATAATTCAAAGTACGACATAAGAGTTGGAAATTGTAATATTTAGATAGAATGAGGTTTCTTTTTTTAAAAGAAAAAAATGATTGATTGGAGTTTCATACCTGATGGCACCAGTAGTAAGAGCATGGTCTAGTCCAAACTGCACAAGGATAAACATCAGATTGGCCAAACAAACAGTCAATTATGTTGACACACATAACATTCTAGTTATAGATTATTTAGAAGCTTCATTAAGAAGTTCAGCAGCAAGCATACTTGAAAACTTCAAAGAAATTAAAGCATGGCCATGACAATTACAATCTTAGTAACTTTTCCACTGTTCTTTTAATATAAAAAAAAAAAAGTCTTTTTGTGCTTTCATTTTAATATTGAATATTGAATTGCCGGAGCATTTTCAATTCACTGATCTTGGAAGCATGCTTTTGCACAAAATGTTGAAGAGGAAAAATTGGTACGGCAACAGATGCAGGCAATACTGAATAAATGACCATGGTCAATAAAAATGGCAGATCTTTGACAAAAGACAACAACCATTATTAAGTGTATAAAGATTATAATCCAGTTTCATGTAAAATTGATTGATTACAGATATATAAATCAGGAATAACAGAATTGCCATGATCTCTGAAGCCAGAAAAAGCATGGATATTGCAATTTATACAAGCAGAGTGTAAATTTGTACTCACTGGATTCCCAATAGCGTACGCTTTCTGACCAACAAGCAGGTCATTAGAGACAACAATAGGTATAGGCCTGAGTTTGTCTTTAGGCCCATCAACGCGTAACACAGCAACATCCTTATCCTGATCAAAGCCAACAACTTTTGCATCTTATGTTGTCTGGTCGGCAAGAGTGACCCTGCAAATTACTAGCACTAATTGAAAGAGGAACAATGACTTTGCTTAGGCATTTTAAACCATTCTCACATAAGAATCCACAGTCAAGTTTTCTTCCCGACAGGCACAAGGAAAGGGAATCAATCATATCACTTGCCAGACTCAATACAAAACAAACCATAATGAATTAGGTGCAATCATTCACACAGCATGTTGACTTTATTTAACTGATAAATCACAATAAAGTTAATAGAATTAGTAAAGTAGAAAATCATTTGGAGAAACAATAAACTGAGACACACGCAGAAGAGTTTGTGACAGACAGATGGGCTATGTACTAAAATTCCAAGCTATCATCCGAATACTTGAAATAGAGATTAAAAATTCATTGCAAAAGTAATTACAAATAAATGGCATAACATAAGCAAATTATTTTTCCCAGTTCTTTAAAACAAATATAGAAGTGCCACCAATAATCTTATTTAATCTGTTGCCATTTGGCAACTTTGTTCTGTTCCACGTCTAGTTGCATAGTTTAAAGTTCCTACTTCCTAGCATCATCATCATCATATCATTCTAAAGCCGAATTTTATCTGGAACTGACTAAACTTGATAGAAGAATTCAAATTTCAAAACCAAGCAACTGACCTGAGATCAGAAGCTGCACGGATGACGTGATAATTGGTCACAATATGAACATTTTTATCCCAAATAAAGCCTGATCCAGAACCTTGTGGAACCTCCAATACGTCCAACGTAAAAGCATCCTGCCTAAGAAATAACAATCCACCCGCTCTTAAGAACATTAGAATCCACATTGAAAACAGGAAAAAAGAAGAAATTATAAACAGAAAGATCGGTCAGCGCTAGTTAGCAAGACACTTACTTAGCAGCAAGATTGGTAATGTATACAAAAGAGGGAGTGTTCTCTTGGAATAGACGAACAGTAGCGAGCTCATCGGACTGCAATTTCCTGGGCGAAGTGACCACAGAAGCAGAAGCGGAACCAATATCGGCAAGAAAGAAGGAGAAAGACAGAGCAACAGAAATGCAGAGAAGAAGAAGAGAATCGAGTTTAGGAGAGGAAGTAATGATTGGCGAGGAAAGGATGCTAGCGTTTCCGGAGAAAGCAGAGCGAAAAAGAAAGAGGGTACGACAATTGGGAATGAAGCTTTCGTGGAGAAGACCAACGGATTTGGGAACGTAAATTGCAGGTTTGTAGCGTGGGGATCGAGAAACTTTGGATGTGGAATGCAAGTATGTGGAAGGGAGTGCGCAAGCAGAAGCCATTTCTGTTTCTTGTTAACTATGGAGCTTTGCTTTCAAATTATTTGCATTTAAATTTAAATAATATTCAAAAAATTATAATTTTTACAATGGATAAATATGTAAGGAGAAACCAAATACATCAATTCTATTATAAGTTCTATGTAGAGACGGAATGATAAAGCGGTGGCTTAAGAAAAAAAATCATAGATTCATGATTACAAGTTTTTTGTAAATAATAACAATATTTTATCCCTGTAAAAATAAAGCTTTCATAAATTGAAACACAGGCACGGTTACATAGGACCGTGGATTTTTTTTTTATGACATATATGAGCGCTTGTATAAGCACTAAGAAGTAGAAAAATTCACATGGAACTTTCTGAATAATCTCAATTTTATATTTTTAATCAATATAAATATTAAAAAAATCAACAACCTAACAAATCTAATTATAGTCTTGTAAGCTGCATAGTACATAGTATAAATAATATGAATACAACTCTATCTTAATTCATAACTGAAACTTTGATTAAAAAACTTGTTATCCATCTGAAAAACTTAACCAAATAAAACATAATTAAATCAATCTCCTCCGGTAGAAGAGTTTACCTCCAGAGGCAATACATATGGACAGGCTTCAAGAAAGACAGAAGCATAATAACCCGTCCTCTAATAAATACAGGACCAATATTCCACTTCACCGAGTAGCGGCAGAATGGGTCACATTCACATGCTAATCATCAAGACCACTAATTTGGAGTCAAACCAATAGGAAGACTCAATAAGAACCCTATAACTAATCTCGAGTTCTCAATTCATTAATCAAGAAAAGAGTGAACAAAACAATAACTTGGCAATGTTATTTATAGGCATATACGTGCTGCGTTGCTATTACCATATAACGCGAATAAAACTCCATCTTAGCTGTAACACTCGATGACAAAATGAAAAGTATAAGCAGGAACTACAAAATTTTATCAAGAGGTCTTAACTCTCTTGGTACGGCATCAAAATTTCCGGCATCTACGTCAGATTGCAGCATAGGGTGCTTCCCCGTTTTCCAGAAAATGCCCTCCGCCATGTGCTCCTTGTTTGGAGTGAGAAGCACATAATTGGGATCTGCCCTTTCGTAACTGCACAGAAGTAAGAGGAGCGCATCTAAATATGAACCAACTTGTCCCATTATGACCGAGTACAATAACACAGCTTATTATGCTATGTACTCGCATAAATAAGGTTATACTGAAAGTAGTTCTCATTTTCATGCAGCAACATTGCGCGCATCTACATTGACCTAAAACTAAATTAGCAGATAATCCCTTTGAACAAAAGTTAATGCAAAAAAATGAACCTGGCTTCTCTAAGACTCTCGCTTTGGATGCCAAACCCATAATGCATGTTACCATCAACACGATCCCGAGTGGCTACAGAAAAATAGAACATGCTCAGTACTCCAAACATCCAACACGGGGATAATACATTACTAATAAACAAAAAACTAGGAACCCATACATAAAATCAACCACAATAAATTTTACTATGTTAAAATAGATATTTTTAGCATTTCCGTTTTTATTTTTCGATAAAGTTCTTGGTAGCAGATTGAGGCAATTTTACCCGTCCCTTTAGCTATGTTAGGGTTGTACAAAAATCACCGCTAAGTCAAATTGCATATCCAATGCATGTCACAGGGACGAGAAAATATTCACAATATAGATATCACCGTTTTCATGTCTACTGCTTCCTGTAGTTGGGCAAAACTAGAGGAACAGGATTTTGGAGGCCTGGAATTATTTTTAAGAAATAGAGCATTACCACAAGAATCTAAAAGCTGAAGGAGGCAAACAGGATGGATTCTATAATCTAAAATGCAAATATTTTGAATTTCGGAAACTTTTGGGAGAACACCACCCCAACACCCTTGCTTTTCTAGGGGAAAAAGCCTCAATGCAAGTCCACACCTGATGGCAATGTTATATAGGCGAGGGCATAATAGCATAAGCCTATCATACATGTGGTATAAATACAAGATGACAAGTTGGGGTATAGAAGTGTTGTATATCCTCCAGGCTACACATACAAGAACCAATGAAAAAGGAGGAAAAAGAATTTAGTGAGAATGAAGAGAAGAACCCCACACCTGAAATATTGAAAGTAAAGGAAGGTTTCCACCATGACTTGAATGCCAATGCCATTGATAAGCCACGATGTCCAACCTTTGCCTGAAAAAAGGGGTGGTAGTCTTGTTAAATCCAATCTAATCCATGTGCACCTGTATCACATAGTATCAGCAATTCATTTATACAATTTACCTTCATCAATAAGTTTTTATTTGCCTGCCAGGATGCTCCTACTTGAAAAGTGGAGTCGAGGATATTGTTCGATGTCATAGCATCATCAACCCTTTCACAGAAAGAAAATCAGATCCCACTACATTAGTGTACACCAATATGAATGTAATCTGAATTTTTTTAAAAAAAATACCTCGTCTGTAACTCAAAACCAAAATCAATATAATTTGTAATTCCAACTACATCATGCTGTTCAAAGGGGTTCTTCACCTGTTCAAGTGAAAGACTTATTCAGCAAAATATTCATTTATACAATTACACCTGTCAGCTTGAGACTACAACCAAAAAGAAAAAACAAATCTCATAATTATTAGAAGAATAAAACAGTCAACAAGAAAATGTAAGTAGTGTCTTGGATCGAATGGTATCAACATAAATATGAAATAGAATCAGATCAAAAGGTCAAAGCGCCCAGACATAAAAAGGTCCTGGGTACATAACATTAGCCTCTAGTTTAAGTATTTTTCTGAGTACGGTGAACACTATATTAAGAAAAGCTCCTTCTTAAATTTACAAGTTATATTATAAATTTACAAATAAAGGGACCAATATCCCAAGTTTCCAGAAATTACAAGTTTATTCAATAAAAATTTACTCCCTCCAGTCTTGAATATAAGTTACAAATAACTCCCTCACTATATTAAGAAAAGCTCCTTCTTAAATTTGTCCCAAATCAAAAATATTTTCAACAAAAGCCCCTGATTTAATCTTTAAGCTTCTACCTTAAATTTAATGATACATAATTACAACTCCTAATTTAAAGTAATGATTTTCTACCCAGATTTCCTTTAATGAAAGGCATCATTGGAAAAAATTATTTAGTGCAACAAACAATGGTTATTTGTCAGCTTATAATTTGGACCAAACAAGTCTTCTAAAATTTCCTTATATCCAAAACCAGAGGGAGTAATTCTCAACTACAGATGATTCTTACAAGGAAAACAAGGCAATGGGCAAGAGAGGTAATTTTTCACCAGTCTCATAATTCATAATATATGTCAACATCATAGTTAAAAATAACATCTCTTAACAAATAACCATGGATGACAAATTTAGTGCTCATGCTTAACATCATGCCATTCAAACATATATGCAACTGTTATGCAACAAGAAAAATCAGACACTGATGGAGGAACAACAACCACTGAACAGAAAAAGAAAAGGAGAAAGAACCAAGAAACATACCCGTCTTTGGACAACCATATGTTGATAAAATGAGGCGATAAACTGCAAATTGTTTAGAGTTTAAGAATTTATTGCACAGTTCCCAACATTTTAATAACTAAAATAGAAGGAAGAACGATGCATTAAGTTGGCTTGAAGTTAATTGAGTTGAATGCATATATTAGACAACAGGCCAGTAGAAAATTTTATACTACTTCCATATTGAATAGCTTCATGAAGCAAACAATAAATTAACTAGTCAAAATAAATGGAAAAGTTGCCAAACTTAGCAATCAATTTGAGATCCAGCAATAAATAAATAAATATGAGAAAGCAGAATATACCTGAGAGCTTCTAACAAGCTCAAGACCAAAATTGAAGGACGGACTCAAGGGGCTGCCAAATCCCACACCATAACCAATCGCACAACTCCAGTTCATCAAATTTGTGAGTTTTGAATCTCCATCTAAAGAAGAATCAAAACATTAAAAAAATTTGCACACAAATTACTTAATTCACACATTTTCTTCTTATTAGAACTCTTGCTTCACTACATTAAATCCTAAAATTCGTTTCCCAATTCCCAAAAATCCCACAATGCATGTGCTGAGGTGCACCTGTTATACAGATTCACAAATGAAGTTAAGCAACTTATTTCAACTACAAGTGCAAACATCAATTCCACTCAAATAAATTGAAAGCAAGAAAAGTTTAAAACCCTTAACATGACTTGTACAAATCATCCTGAATGGAAAATTGATGCAATGATGTCAGCTTTCTGGTGAGAGCAGCAAACATGTCATCTTTTCTTGTATGATTGCAATTTATATGCTGACAGAGAAACAAACTCAATGATGCAGCAAGCAACAAAGCACAAAAGGAGAACAGAGTTTAAGGCTAACTACGCCTCTGGTTTTCCACTAAACCAGATTACAAACTCCAATCCCAGAAAAAAAAATCAACAGAAGGAAGGTACGGAGGCAGGAAATAGATAGGTTCTAGCACAATCCAAGACAGCTAGATGTCTCCAAAACTACCTGACCTTCGCGACACCTTGTTCTACTTTTATTCTCTTGTAAATATATCCTCACTTCCCTTACTTGCACTCTACTACCAGCCACGTGTCCCAATATTTCCATGTTGAAATCACACAAGTCCTCTCATCTACCCCCTTTCCCCTTACTGTCAGCCTTACCTCTAGCACTCATACACCTTAAGCAAAAGCTTCCCATAATATGCCTACTCTCAAATCAATAGGCTATAAGAAAAGGAAAGGAAAGGATAAAAAGTGGGAAGAAAAACAAGTTAAAATGAAACCGATAACTAAGCTACTAGCAGAGACAGTAGCACAGTTCAATATATGCACCCGTATAAAAAAAACACTGCAACAGAAGCAGTTCTACTACTATAATACTTCTAAATAAGAGGTTGAGGGGGAGTTCCAAAGCAATCATATCTGGAAGCCTTACGTAGTGGCTCATACTGCACTCCAGCTGTCACCCTTCCCATCCTGCTGACCAGCCATACACTTTTTGGCATTTCATCTTTCACTGCAAGGTATGACAATCACACAACACATTCATAATCATCCCAGCCAGATCATAAAGTGATACTTCCTTCCAAAATTCCAATCCATAAATTAAAATTTACCAAGCATGGGAAGAAAAGTACAGTAATCCTCAAGCTTTTACAAAACTAAACATCCTTCCCAGGAGATGTTAAAAGCGCATCAGCTTGGCAGATTCAGAATTTACTCTTTAAGTGTTTGAACCTACTTTAGTAAGGAGCAATACCGTGCCATCCCTCTTTACCAACTAGACTAAATTTTTTATTTATATAGTATCATCTTTAATTCAATAAAATATATTCAATGTGCAGTCTATAATAATAATATTGCAAGCTTTCAGCATAAAAGTCATCTAATTCCTATTGACAAAAATTAGAGGAAGCAAAGGAGGAGGAAATAGTTAAAGAGAGAGCAAAGCCATTAGTTTCCTGAACAAGTCTTTCCAAAATTTCATGGCAAAGCTTAAAATTTTTCCAACAAAATATTAAGTAATAGCAATGTGAACCAAAATAAGAGAAAATTAGCGGTATAGGAGAAAAAATGACAAAGTCGCAAGTGCCACAGGCTGATCCTTCCATTTTCATGAAATCTGAGAGACTCATATAATGAATAAGATTGAAATGTATTATACAGAGAACTCCTGAAATCATAATATCACAGGCCAAAGCTTCATTAACATGAAAATCAGGTAACATACCAGCAAAAGGCACAAGTGAGATTCCACAAGAAAGGTTTTTAGAACCATATCTCAATCCCATCTGGCCATAGTCTTCTGAAGATTCTCTGTACAAATGGTTAGCTTCATGAACAATATCATATTGTAATGTAATACGTTGGATGTACAGAATACCATAAAAACTCAATCCATGTGCTGCAACCAGTGCACCTTTTCTTCAAAAGCAAAGGAAAAATTCCATAAGCTCCAAATCCATATTTTGGATAGTAAGCACACGATCTCATCTGCAAAATCCTGAAGATACAGAATGCAAAATCTTTACCTCTCCCATGGCAAGAAACCAACTGAGGGTGGAACATATGAACTGGAGCTTTATATTTCAAAGCAAGAGTCCCTTACTGATCAGAGTTCGACACATAAAGGTCCATGAAGGTATGAGGATCATGAACATCACTGTATGCTCCACCAAGGTAAAAAAAAAAAAAAAACTCAACAAACCATATAATAAAAGCATATATATCAGAAACTACACTAGAACAAAATCACAAGACCTTTGCCATCGAAATAATGCATTCCCTATGATATTCTCCTCAGGCTTGTGATCAAGAGGACCTGAAACCTAAACAGGTTAAGGGAAAGTGATTCTGCTCACAGCTCTAACTTTACTGATCACTTAATCAAAACCAGAACACAAAACTGAAAAAATTTAGATAAGTAAAATCTAATATCTTCCATGGATACTGTTGCAATAAGATCCACATGAGGATCATCAATTGGCTTTAGCATAATTCTTGTGGTAAAATGCCTTGCTTCCTGAAAGTAATCCTCAAAAAGGCATTTCAAAGCAAGTTTCCCAAATAACAACTTGTAAGAAGGCACCAACATCCTGCATCATCTCAAATCACAACAGATAAGAACCATATCAACTTCCTAATACATATAAACATGAACCAGATTATTGCCATGAGTACATGATTTAAAGTATAGATGCTATTACTACCATATTACAATGAATAAGGGGAATTCAATGCACAAAAATAACAATGGATGAACACAACGAAATGTAATGCACAATGGATGAGCACAATACAACATATAAATCTGAACCAGATCAGTGCCGTGTTTACATGATTTAGTACGCAGATGCTAATACTACCATAATACAATATACATCGAACGAGGGGAATGCAATTCACAATATTACCGTGGATGAACACAACGAATTGAATCTACATACTGCTAGATTGACGTACCCATAAGGGTTACCCATATTATCCACTAGATGAGGGCTAAATAATCGAGGTCCATAGGTCTTTGCTAAATGAAATATCAATTATATTTAAATTATGAATTTCAAATAGCAATAACTATAATCCCAACGAGAGAGAACCAAAATAATTACAAATTACTATCAAACGGAACCTTTTGAGTAAACTGAACAGAAAAGAACACAAAAGGTAGGGCCGGGGATATATGAATTCAACAGAAATGTGCAAGTGAAATGAATGAGCGCGTAACCTGTCACGAGCAGCAAAGGGAGGGAAATCGAAGAGAGGAGGCACCAGCACCACCTGAGGAGGAGGAGAAGGAGGTGGCTTGTCGACAAAATTCCCCATTGCTCTGTGCTGCGTCTAAAAGTTTCACGGATTACAACAACAACATTTATAAACAGACAGAGGGCGCGCAACAAAGTGTAAAGCGCGAAGAGGAGATACAAGATTGGGAAAATACCCAACGGACCAAATCGCGCCACCGCCTTTCACGTAACTTGACCGTTTCCGCTTCAATATTTAAATAGTATTTACGATGGCCTTTTTTGGGCCTTTGTTTTAGCTGGCTGGACTGTAAGTTTTTATTTTTATTATTTCCTTTTTTTATTAAACTAAAATTTATTAATATAATAAAGGAAAAATATCAACAACCAAGGTTGCATATTTATATCAGTCAAAATACGTAAGATTTTAAAATTTTACTACAGTTTCATAATCCTTAGTTGAAATTAATTTTTTTAGTGAAATGATTAAATTGCTCCTAAAATATAAAAAAATTAAAATACATTTTTATTCTTAAACTATCATTCAATGAGTATCCAGTATTCTATACTATTTGTTGTAGCAATTTTATCTCTAAAGTAATTAAAATATAGCTTATTTGCCCCTGACATTAAATAACTCAAAGTTAATAGTTAAAAATGCTAAATAGGACTTGAGTTTGACAAAAATTGCCACTTGTCATGCAAAGTGGACCAAAGTTAAAGTATATTTTTGTTACATTTTAATTACTTTAGGAGCCAAATTGTAACATTTTAAGTTTTCTCATTTGTAATTATCAGTGTTTTCAAGAGGTAATTTGATCAATTTAGATAAATTTTTGATTTAGCGAAGTTTATGAGAGACTAATGTGATTTTTGAATCCTTGGACAGCCTTAGAAGAGGGTTAGGTCGATGTTCAAGCAGGCCATGGCACGGAAGGGAGTTTAAAAATTTATGGGATATTCTATGTCATGTGTCGTGGCACACGTGCAAAATCTACACTTATCAAATACGAAAAACAGATCAAAAATAAAAGAAAGAAAGAGGGATAACAAGAGAGCGACGGAGAAGAGCTTGTGGTCTACTAGGGCATGATTCGTAGGCTACTTTGGAGGCATTTGGAGTTTAAATCATTATTGGGTAAGTTGCACATTCCCTTTTCTCCCTTATTATGCAAAAATTATGGATTTATGGGACAATGGGGCTTTGATTTCAGTTCTCTTAGGTTTAGACCGAACCTATTGGTTTTTTTAAGGTCTTGGGGAATTAAATCAAGCCTCTAACCCTAAGTTTATGAGTTTTGTGGTGATACCATTTGGTGATCAAAATATTTATAAATTAATTTAAAAACAACAAATAGGACTACACATAGGGATGCACTGTGACATACGCACATATGCCGTGACATGTCCCTCACTGTGCCTTACGACGCAGCATATTGCACAGTTTGACATCAACTATGTTGTCAAGTTGACAGCATAGGGGTGAACCTTCATCTTGCCCTATTCTTCATTTGATGTCCAATTCAAGTAAACTAGGTGTTTTCAAAAAACTCTTTTTATACTAGTAGTGGCACAGGTCTTACTCTTAAATAATTTCACACAAGTGAGTTAGACACCCAAACTCATTTTCACACTTTCCACAATACACAGGTGTCGGAAACCTAGCTCTTGTACCAAAAGCTATAACCAACACTTAAAACACACTTAATAAAGTAAGATTACCTATACAACACACCATATGCATAATATAACTCACATATATCATTCTCAACTTTCAACCCCTTAATATCAAAACAAATGAGGTAGGTCCAGCATAGCATATATGTCATAATAAATTCCTTTTCATGCATTCACATTCATACCCAACTCTCATACCTTACTTGCACTAATAATGCTACCTTATCAACATCATCATTTCATATTACAAGATATTAAGGGACCAAAATACAAATATCAGCTCAATAAGTGTTTGATGCAAGTGAATGCATAAATTCAAAATGTGAAATCATAATTGGCAATATCAATATTGCATTACATATAAAATAAACCAAGGTGAGGCCTACTATAGGAACACATAGTCCTATGCCTTAGGTGCTTTTTCCTTTTCTCATTCTGAGCCAGAGCCTATAAAATATTGAGAGAGAGAGAGAGAGGAGTGAGTACAATCACTTAATAATCAAGGTTCTTCTACCTTATGCAATTGCATATTGTTGTATAAGGCATACAATCACATATCATACAATTTCACAAATATCATATGTCATTTCATATAATTCATCATAATTTCATCTTTTCACAATTTAATTCACAAAGCACATTGCCATATTACTAACAACCATGTGACAATAGCCAAATCAAATATTAGATGCTCATTGCCATAGTAATAACAATCATATGATAATAGCCAACTTAAATATCATGACTTATCACAAACTTAACAACCATGTGACATGTCAGATAATATGTATGATCGAACTAATCTTATATCCTCCTTATAGCTTTTAATTGAAACCATGGGCTATAAAATCAAATAGAGCTTTGTTCGTGTGAATAGGCTACCCAAGCTCACCAATTGTGGAAGCAACCTAGCTAAGGTCACTACTTTTACTCTCGAACCATGGCTTCCCTTACTCTTGAATCACTAAGGTGTCATAAATCCTAAACTAGTCTCCTTAACAAACAAGTGGAGATAACTAGGTTCGAGTCCCTTAATAAATAATGAAACTATCCTTCAATAAACAGTGGGATAGTGGCTACTTCCTAATTCCAACGGTAGTTAGCTAGGCTAGCTTTTGATTTTAATGATAAGCAACCAATACCACGTGAATTTTATCACTACTTATCTCTCTAAGTAAACTCTCACCAATATAGATCATGCATCACTCATGCTCACACATAGCATGTTATCAACTTATAATAACAAGCTCACTTTCATATATTTAACAAGCTACAACATATGAGCATCATATATGAATCCACACATTGTCATTTCATCACACACATATACCATCATAACATTTCATGCATCATAAGTTCATTTCTCATTTTATCACCATATATTTATATCACATTGCTTACAATATTATATCAAGTTTTTCCTAACAACACATGACCATTCATCATCATGTTATAATTAAAAAAAACTCATCATAGCCTCATTAATGTTTCTCAAAACACGCTACGAATTAGCCAATGAAAATCAATTAACCTACAACTACACAAAATAGATTTCCCTATCTACCTCAAACCTTTGAGTGGTCAAAAGTTTACCCTTTAACAAGTGCTTCCAATTCAGTGTCAGGAATGATTAATCTATAATTAATTAAGTTCACAATCATTAACGTTACTCTTTACAATCTCTTAACTTCCTCTTTGAACACTTTAACCACCACACAATATTAACCTTTGAGTTTACCCCCGACCAATAGATACATTAACTTCCATAAACTATAATTAAGTCATATGAATTTGAGTAATATTGATTTTAATATCCAACAACCTAAAACCACTATTTATACAATTTAAATGTCAAAATGTCTAAAGTTCTTATTTCTAGCATTTAGACTTATCCATTGGGTTTATCCACTCCCTTTAACTACAACTATCGTTAATAAATCCATTAAACACCATTAGTGGGGTCCAACTTCCCTCTTAACCAAAATAATTGTCATTTTCATCTATAATGAGAAACTCAAGCTTAAAGACACTAAAAATTATTAATATTAAGTTTAGACAACTTATATGACTCTTATTAACTCCATTTAAGTTAATGGGTTAGACCTATAGCCTCAAAGATCTAAAACTCATTTCTATATCAAGCTTTAACTCTCAAATCTATTAAAAAGAGAAAATGGAGGAAGATTAGGGCTTGAAAAACTTATCTCAAGTCATTAGAAGCTCCAAAATACTCTCAAATCTTCAAATCTCTAAGCTCTAGTAAAGCCCTTGCATTCTCCGTTGTCCTCTTACTCAAACCTCTCTTCTCTCTCTGTTTTTTGAACTAATTTTGTGACTTATTACTATCAAATTTCATCCATGCGCCACAGCACATGTTCCTACGCATCATAGCATGTGGCATAGAAATGGTTCTTAGCATTTATATGACTTGTGCGCCGTGGCATGTGTGCATGCGCTGTAGCATATAGCATAGAGCCATTTTCCTTAATTTTTCTCCTATTTTGAAGTCCAAGCGACCTAACCTCACTCTATACCCGCATTTAGGGTTGAAAACACAACTCAAAACACTCATTAGTCCTCTCTGTTCACATATCACACTAATTCTCATTTAATTATCCTTAATTAATATAATTAACAAGAGGTTAAATTTTTAGGATATTATATTCATGACTTAAGAGAGCTTGTTGAAGTTTTTTTTGAACCCTAGATTAACACTTGTCTTTATTAGAAACATTTATGAGAGGAGGTATTTTTAGTGTTATGAGATGTAAGAGGGATAAATACTCCTAGACCCCAATTTGTGCTTAAAATTTGAGAATCATTTTCTTTTATTTATTTTCCAATTTTAATTGAATTTTCAAAATTAACTTTACCTAATTATGTTTTGTTCAACTCAATTAAATTTGCTTAGTCTTTTGCTTAATAATCTTTTTTTAAACAAATTTCCATTGGAACAATATTCTATTCACTTTATATTACTTATTACGACCTGTGCACTTGCAGAGATCACAACACTCACTAATAACTTAACAAGTAGTCATTTATAAAATGATAAGTAACTATTCAACTCTGACAAGTATTGCTCAAAATGTGAAGCAAAGTTTATAATATATATATATATATATATAAAGATTTGCGTTATATAATTAAGAGATACTGTTAGCTTAGTGGCTAATAATACTTTTGAGTAGCCAAGGGTCTGTGGGTTCAAACTCCTCTTGGCTACCTTTAAAACAAAATAATTTGGCCCTTTTATCGAGTCGGTGACCAATCCAGTGGCTGGTGGAGACTTCTTAAAAAACTTAAATGAGAGATAGTTTTATCTTTTCACACTAAATTTTAATTACATTTTGATTTCTTGATCTTGCAAAGTGATTTTAGAATCTTTTGATCCCTTTTTGTAAATAAGTTGCTTTAAAGGTTCTTGATTGTGATTTTTTCTATTTTTTTTCACAAGACCCAACACCTTTCTTGTGACTTGATTAGCTTTGAAGTTTAAATAGCATTTACAATGGGCCTTTCTTGGGCCTTTATTTTAGGCTAGAGGGCTTTTATTTAAGGTAGGCTGAGCTATAAATTTTTAATTGAAAGAATCACATTCAAGAACTATTCAAGTAAATTAATCATAGAAAAAGACTATCAACAAATTTCATTTTAAAAAAAACAAGTTCATGTTTCAATTTTAACAATAATTTATTTTATATTGATCTTTATTTATGAATAATTAATTTGAGTGATCATTGAATGTTATTTTTCCTTTTTAGTTTTATCAACTGCTTTTCGTCGGCCTTTATTATTTTATTAGTGAATTGGATTCAAGAATAATATAATTTTAAATAAATTATATTTTAATAAGATATTTTCTAGAATTTAAATACATATATTTATATAATATATTATTATATAATTTATTTACACATCACAATAATATTATCACATTTTTATTATGAAATTACTATTTTGTTCTTTTTATTTTTCAATGTATAATTTGTTTATTATATATTTCAACAAAGGCGAAGATTTCTGGTTCTCCAATTGCAGGTAAGTGACTGATCCGTGAACCTATTGCCTCTATTATTTCTCCCTCCATTAAACATCTTCCCTCCCTAGAGGAGCAAAACGGATGGAGCCAGCCCTAATTAATTTTTAGTTGAAATATATATATATATATATATATATGAAGTACACTTGGTAATTTGGACAAGAAAAATGCAAAGCATGCGGGACAAGGATGGGCCCAACTAACCCAAATTGTTGAACCAGTAACAGGAGAAATTTTTGACCCGTATTCGATTCGTTTCGTTCCATTCAAGTTCCCGTCTTTTCTTTTGAAAGCCTTTGCTTCCGTGGTTTCATCTGGATTCTGGTTAATCCAACTTTATGGGCAAAATTACAGTGGCAGCTAGAACCTTCCCCTCTCAATGCAGTTTGATATGCAGACGAAGAGGGTAGATGATACCACGGTGGACATTTCAGACTTTTGAGTAGATATGCAAGCCCTGTGTTAAAAAATTTCGTCTTTGAGGTGCTACTTTGCCTCCTCTTTTTCTTATCTGTTTTCAATTTGGGGTATTGAAATTAACAAGTCTTGGATCTGGATGGACTGTGTGTATGCTTCTTTTTTGGTGGGTTGTATTTGATTCATGGGATCTTTGAAGTTTTTTATTTTGGGGCATTCTTATTGATTTTTCACTGTTTGCTTCGAAAACTTTATTTGGGCTGAATTTCATTGTATCAGTTGTCATTGAAAAAGAAATTGAAATAAAGAAAGAAATGGTAAACATGGGGATGTAATTTTGATAACAAACTTTCTAGTTTCATGTGCTTGCTCAACAATGCATTTCAGGAATTAACTGCTTCTATTTAATTGAATTTTTTTCTTGTCCCAGATAGATGTACAAATCTTGATAGGTGAAGTTGTGCCCAGATCATTCTTTTTGGCCATGATGAACATAAAAATTGAACCTGAATGCATTGCTTGACTGCAGTTCTTTCTCTTAAATCAAGAATTTAAATTTTGTGTTTATCTTGGCTGCAGTCTTAGGTGTAGTGAAGGTGCAAGAAGGGGGATGTCTCTTCGGATAAAAGCTGTTGTAGATAAGTTTGTGGAGGAGTTGAAGGAAGCATTAGATGCTGACATGCAAGACAGGATCATGAAGGAGAGAGAGATGCAAAGTTACATTAAGGAACGTGAGCGTGAAGTTGCTGAGCGCGAGGCTGCATGGAAGGCTGAGCTTTCTCGTCGGGAGGTGTCCACTTCTCATAACTTCTTTTGTTTTAATGAACACAAAAGAACATAATAAAAGTTGTGATAACTTTGATCCCACTTTAAGTAAGCTAGATATGCTTGGTGCTGTTGAACAGTTTTCAAGTTTTTGAGGAGTTATTACAGCTATGACTTCTTTCGAACCAAAAAATTGGCTTAAGTTTTCAGTATTTGCATTTTAAGAGTTTTAATCATGTGGTGTGAGCTTGTTGCTGCAAAATAGGGATTTTCATTTATGGGGTTTGATGTTTTTATGAATAATTTAATATGCAAGTAGGGTTTTGTTTATGTTCTCTTTTAAATGTCTGCTAACAATTATAATTTTGCTGAGGTTATGGATTAATATAACCAGGCCAAAATCAAATATATAAAAAAAAATAACTGGGATGATTTGATCTTTAAGCTTGTTCTTTATTATTAACTTGTCCTCAGTAGACACATGAGTACAAATATGTTATGGGGCAAGATTTACGCACTTAGTCTTATATACTTAATGTACTTTCATCCAATCAAATTATTACATGTGGATTTCAATATGTTAATAATATTAATAACAAGAATTTGTTGTAGAAAAAATAATCGATAAAAAATCCATATGTCATGATTTAATTGGAAACAAGTGCCTTAATTACATAAAATTGAGTATACAAATTTTTTCCTATATGTTATTATATTATGCTCTCTTAATGCTTTGAAAGACAAGCACGTTGCATTCTGCCAACGGTTTCATGTATCATTCAGCGCCTAGTTTTGCACAAGATTATAGCTGCTGAATGGCCTAAATCATTTATCTTGCAGGCAGAGATTTCTCGCCAAGAAGCAAGGCTGAAGATGGAGAGGGAAAATCTTGAGAAAGAAAAAAGCGTATTAATGGGAACCGCGTCCATTCAGGATAATCAAGATGGAGCTCTTGAAATCACAGTCGGTGGTGAAAAATACCGTTGCCTCAGATTTACCAAGGCCAAGAAATGAGGCTTTACTTGGTTGGCACCAAAAAAAGGAATACGAATCAGACATTACATTCTCCACCAAATACCTAGTGTGAGGAATATGGAGAAATTTTTCTGAATGATCCACTCATTTTGAAGCTCAACAGAAAATCACTTGTCATGTCTTTGTTATCGGGAACTGTTCTGACTTGTTACATTATAATTTGCCAAAATATTCTTTGTAAACTCTGGGACGGGTGTAGATTTAAGGAGAGAGGCCAAGAAGCTACAAAAGAAATATGTACAAAGAACATTGATGTGGCAAAATGGACCATCATGAAGTTCAGAAAAGGGGCTTTTATTCATAATTGAGTTCGTAATAATAATACAACATAATTATAGGATAAAGCTCAAAGCAGCTCTCTTAATTGCAGACACAAGCTCTGAGCATGACCCTATAGTTTCCAGTGCAGAATGGTGACCATATCTTTTACCAAACAAAGAAGAAAAATGCGGTAATAAAAGACCTTGTCAACGTTTTATTGCTCCTCATTTCTTGCAGGAAAAGAAACTTAAATAATTGGAACTAGCAGTGGAGAATCATCTGCCGTCTACTCTTTTTTGAATCTCCATCTCGTTCATCGTGGTTTATAACAAAGTACATTTTCTTTTAGCCGGACAATACTAGATTTTAGGGAAGCAAGATGAGGTCAGTCATGGCTCATGTTCATGCAGATATAGAAGAAGAAAGGCCAAACTGAAGGGTCCAAAGCTCAAAACCCCCTTTCACAAAGTCATAGTATCCTCCTTTCAATGCCAGAGTTTTGTTCATCAATCCCTCTCTCACAAATGGGTAGGTCAACAGGTTTCCCAGTGAAACATTCACAGCTTCCTGAAAAATGCACCAAAACCTTCATTATCAGCACCGTCATCTTGGCATGTTGCCATTTCATATCAGAAACTTGTAGCTTTAATGTCTCCTACCTTCTCACAATGTGAGCATAGCTCTTGGAAAGATGCACCGGCATGTGCTGATTTCACCTTCGCCTTTGCAGGTAAACATATTTTCACCCAATCTTCTATAAATTCACTGCACACAACGCAACAGTTACAGTAAGTACAAATTGGCCGCATTAAAAGGAATGTTTTATGTTCGATCCTTCTTTTCAAGTCCTTCAAAATTATTCATCAGCGCTTCATGTACTTAGACTTACGTAGAGATGGATCCATCATCTGGAATAGAGAGAAGCCCCTTGATACCTCCACAAGCACTGTGCCCAATGACCACAATGTTCTGAACCTGTACAAGAAAATTACAATCGTCCAGTCAAATTGTGAAGTCAGAAATTATTCAAGAAGGTCTGAGACTCTTTCAGTATTTGTATCATGTACCTTGAGATGCAGAACTGCGTACTCAATGGCAGCCCCAGCTCCAGCGTATCTTGTCTGATACATCAGAGCAAATCAGAATTTAGCACAGTTGAGAGTACTAATTAAGTACTGATATGAAGAAATGGTTGAATTGCAAAGAGACCTGGTCGTAAGGTGGGACAATGTTAGCAACATTTCTGACCACAAAAGCCTCTCCAGGCTGGAAATCTAGCACATGAGATGGGCACACTCTTGAGTCTGAGCAAGCGAACACCATAAACTGCAACATGCCATAATTAGACTCAATTCAAGCTCACTACTAAGAGAGTCTCAATGAAAAGTTATGAGGTTTGATGCAAGTAAATTCTACAATACCTTTGGGCTCTGGCCCTTGGCAAGTTCACCATACAAAGCTGGATTCTTGCTGTTGAAAATGAGAAGAATATTAAGAAAGCGGGAAGAAAGAAAATTGCTGGTGAAGTGAAGGAGTAATGAATAGAGACAAACTCGTATTTCTCTCTCTTGAAGTGAATGAAACCAGTTTTGATCCTTTCAGAGGCCTCGGATGATGCCACGCCATCAACTGTTTGTGTTGCCGTCCCTAACTCAGCTGTTATCTGCTCTACTTTTGCAGCTGCAACGGCTCTCAGGTCACCCTTCTCTCTATTTCATTAAACACAATGCAAGTCAAATCTCGAAGTCATGAAATTGCATGTGTGTTTGTGTTTCCAGCAGAGTGCTTGGTTACCTTAGAAGTTTCTCGAGTTCTTCTATGGCTTTCTCGTAGTCCTTCCCCATATCCTCTCTCTACACAAAACTCCAAAATAGTCAGCTGAAACTCATTCACTTACTAGATATGTCTTCACAAAAATATGCAGTTATAAATAAAGTGTTCTCCAATTCTCTAGACTTTTTTAAGAAATAATTGATTTATTTTTCACATATAGAAAATAGGCTATTGTATGGTGGCGACGACTGACACATACTAATCAATACAAATCGATACCACACACCTGTCACTCCAATTAATCTATTAGCTAACTCAGCTACCGACGTGGTAGTGGCCCCGTGAAAAGCCCAAACTTTAAAGCGCTACACACCCTTAATTCTTGTCCAAGTTGCAAAACCAGATTCACCAATTAACACGTGGTCACTATTAGATTCTAGCGTACTTAACCATTTGAGCCAACATTGACCCTCGAACGAATTAGGATCAAACAGAATCCCCAGCATCACTTAAATGGATAATACTACTTCTGTGACGTGTACTGATATTCACGTAGCAAGAAAAATTACTAAAAATGAAATTTAAGCAGAGTACCAAAGTAGGGGTGATGAATGGAGCAGGAGCAGCAAAGACAGGCTTGTCTTGGATGAGAGAAGGGAACTAGGAAGAGGAGGAAGAAGAAGAAGAAGAAGTGGGTGGGGTGAGTGTTGCGAAGACAAAGGGACGTAACGTGGTTGTTTTGAGAAAGGTTTTTGCAGTGACAGAGGGGAGACACAAGTTGTTGATGGAAGCAACGGACATTTTGCAGAAGAAACGATTTCATGGTTATATAGCTGCCACAAGATTATTATTCACCCATGCTTATGTGTTGATCTCTATCTATTCTCAAGGGACCAGACGAAGATAACGAAAGCAAAAGCCAAGCAAATGAGAGCTTGTTCATTCCATCCTCCAAGATGAGGTTTGAATGTTGGAGATTAACTACGAGAGAATGGCCATAACTCTACATTAAAAAGAAAAAAAGAAAAAAAAAAAAGAAATAGCAACATATATTAGTAATAAACTTGTAAGTAACGCTTTGGTATCATGGCTGGAGGAATTGTGTGTGTAGATTTTTCCAATGAGATGTGGCAGTGGGTAACCCAATGTGTTATTGTCGTTGGGAACGTCTGTCTTTAGTGTTTGGGATGCAAAGGCAAGTGTGAGCAAAGGCAATTTGCCACGTGGCTGAGGATGTAAACCCTTATACCCCAGCATGAAAGTTACACAAACAAATTAATGCCATGAATGAAACTTGGAGAGGATACACTTGTTCAGTTTCTTTCTTTTGTTCTTGGTAACATCCACTTCTTTACTTACAACTGGGTTGGCTCGTTGATATCTCCTTTTACTTAGTGAAGGGTTGGGATCGCTCCACCTCTAGCCTCATGACTCTCTCTTCCTCTCTTCCCCTCGTTCTGAAGCATCAGAGTCTGATTGGTTGATACAGAGTGATCCAACCGTTCACTAAGTAAAAGGAAATATTATCTCTGCTTTCTGAATTTGATGAAACATGTGGCTAAATCCGGAAATCCGTTGCTAAGTGAAATGCGGTAATTTCCCTAAGTAGAAATATGGACATTAAAATAATTAGTTCCAAGACGGAATGATTAGTTTCACAATTTGTTAGAAAAAAGTTCATGTAACATATGTTGCAGATTTGAAAATAATATAGTAAATTTAAAAAAAATATAAAATCAAGAATTAGTAATTTTTTTTTTTGGGTTGGGGGGGGGTTTTAAAACAAGAACTAGTCACTTCAATTGAAAGTGAGTGGTGGAAGCAAGAACCAGCCTATCCATTTGGGCCATACTCGTTACTTTTGTGTTGTTGAGCTTCCTAAATAGTAATAAATAGAACGATTTTCATGGGTTCACTCGCAAGCAAAGACACACAAACGAGACGCAAAGCATAAACATAAATATAAACATTATGAAATAATTAGATTTTTATACATTGGATAGATCATAGTTTCATACAAAATTTGTTATCAGGTAAAAAAAAGACATTTTTTTGGTTGAAGAATGTATGTGAACAAAATTTCAGATGAAAAAAAAATCGAAATTCAAATTTAAATAGTAAAAGAGAAGTATCAAATCCGATGCAAATCACTTGAATCACAAAGCTTTTTGACTAATAAATCATATTAGAAAGAAATTGCACTCTTGTAAAACCAGAAAGAAAGAAAGAAATTGCACTATTCATTGTTTCTTTTCTGGCACCGCTTGTATGAGATTTTTGAGCGTAATTTAAGATGCAACATTGTATTACTAGTACATGTAGTTGTTCAATGCAAGCAAAGCTTCATTTAATTAAGGGAAGAGTGAGAGGATTAAATAGAATGCAGCCTAGTTAATGAATGATAACTTGAAGCAGTAAATCTACTAAACGATAGGAACTGAAGATGGGAGGGTTGAGGGGGAAGAGGGAAACGAGACATTATTTGAATTCCGACGTCCATAACGATTTATGTTTAGATTTGTAGCGGTGAAGCGTTTAAATCAAAAGGCATATAAATGCAGAAGAGGAGGGGGGGTGGGGGGAGAGAGTATACATGGTCGCCAAAGGGAGCACTGAGCCCAGTGAACCAAGGGACTTGATAGAGATGCTTAACGGTCATAACTGCGATGAAAAAATGGAAGATTGATTCAGAACTAGCAGGAGGGAGAAGAAGAGAGGAAATGAGTGGCGAGGAAGACTGTTTCTGTGGGAATTGCCCAGTGGTTCTTAATATATGTAACAACGTTGTCGTCAGCTCAGGCAAAAATGCGTCGCCTAACAAATGAGTATCCCATGTCAACATTCCCTCAATAAAGTGACGATATTATGTCAACATCTTTGTCGTTACTCTTCCTTCAACCGCCATTAGTTTTTTCCCCCCAATACTAGTATATGATAATTCTAAAATTTTTATATGCCAGTAATTTTTCTTTTTGGCTTAAAGTCAGATATTAACATCTTCATTGTGGTTAGGTTAGATTAGACAATCTCTAAGAACATATAAAAAATTACTTCAACACCTAGTTCAAAATTTAAAAAATATAGACGACTAAATAACTAAGTTAAGACAATTAGCATAATGCACAATACTAAATGCAATAACAAGTCCAATCTTCTATTGGACAATTAGCTATATCTATACGAAGCCCAGTAACAATTTCTAAATCATCCTTTTATTCTTTTCTTTTTGGTATACGTGTCTTATGTTCATGTATTTTAGGGTTGTGTACCTTATCAATATAAATCAATACAATACTTTGGGCCTGGTGAGCCATTTTTATAATATTTATTTCTTAAGTTGGTAGCAAAGCAAAAAGGCAAATAGACATGGCTACTCCTTCTGGTTCGTCGATAAGCTCGAATAAATCTCAAAGCTCTCTTGCCTCTACTGCTTTACTCACCAAAAATCCTAGTGCCTTAGATTCACTCAACCAAATTTGTTCTATCAAGTTGGATGGAACACACTACACCATTATTCAGCATACTCATGTACTGCCAATAATCAAAGGACACAAACTTGAAGGCTTTGTCAATGGAACTAAGCTCTGTCCAGTTCAGTTTATTCCTAATAAGAAGGGTGAAATCAAACTTAACGTAGAGTTTGAAGACTGGGTAGCAATAGACTAGCCACTCTTTGGCTAGTTATTGAACACGATATCACTTGAGGTTTCATTAGAAATGACCCAAGTCTCAACAGCTACTAGTCTTTAGAATGCAGCACGTCAACTTGCCGGTGCACAGAACAAAGCTCGTGTTCTAATGCTTAAAACCAAGCTTCAACACACTCAAAAAGGATGATCTCGCATGGTCAAGTATTTGTCCAAAATGTGAAGCATTGCAAAATAGCTCTCCATTGCTGGACACTCCATTCTACTACCTAATCTGATTATTCAAATGCTAGTCGAATTAGATGCTAATTACAACTCGATTGTAGTACAGCCGAGCAAGGAATCCGATAACTTAATCTGGATCAAATTTCAAGTGTCCTTGCTCACATATGAAAGTCGCATGGATCAACTTATGTAAGTTTCCCAATTGAATATTTCTACTACTAATTTTCCCAACTACATTGAATCATTTCTAGCAGGGGCTCGAGAGGTCATGCTCATGGCCATTCATGCAGGACTAACAGTAGTAAGGATTGTCCTATGTGCCAATTGTGTGAAAGATATGGTGACAAGGTTGACACATGTTTCTATCGCTATGACCGAACCTTTGTGAAGTCAGGGCCTAAGAAGAAAGTTGGTTTTTCAATTGGTTCTTCCAGTGGTGATCTTAATGCTGTGTTTTAGGCATCTCCCGAGACTGTGAATGATGATGCTTGATATATTGATAGTGGAGCAACTAGTCGTGTAATAAATGATCCTGCTCGTCTGAAAAATCCTATTACTCTTAATGGTAATGTTAAAATTGTGGTTGTTAATGAAGATAAACTTGCTGTTGAAAAAATAGAGTCCTCGACTCTTTAAAATGTTCCTCATAAGAGTGTTTCTGTAACAGTACGGAGCCACCCCTTGGGCCTCGACTCGGTACTGGACTCTGGCCCATCACTGGACCAAAGCCGACTTTCCCACAGGTGGTACTGTGGTTATTCCTCACCACTGCCTCTCCAGGGTCTTTTGGAACCTCCCCAGACTCGAACCTCCAACCTCTACCACCTTAACAAAGTTAAGGCTAAGTCTGGTACCATTGAGTCAACTTGACTCAATGGTACCAGACTTAGCCTTAACTTTGTTAAGGTGGTAGAGGTTGGAGGTTCGAGTCTGGGGAGGTTCCAAAAGACCCTGGAGAGGCAGTGGTGAGGAATAACCACAGTACCACCTGTGGGAAAGTCGGCTTTGGTCCAGTGATGGGCCAGAGTCCAGTACCGAGTCGAGGCCCAAGGGGTGGCTTCGTACTGTTACATAAAAGGCGCCTTTTATGTAACAGCCCTCCTGGGTCACCACTGCCTCTCCAGGGTCTTTTCCCAGGCGCTGGACACTTCCCTCTCACAAGGTAATGCCGGCTTTAGCCCAGGTGGTACTGAGCGTATTCCTCACCCCACCCTCACGGGGGTCTTTTGGAACCTCCCCAGACTCGAACCTCCAACCTCTACCACCTTAACGAAGTTGAGGCAAAGTCTGGTACCATTGAGTCAAGTAATATGTAACACCCTCAAATTTACAAACCGATTTTTCGCAAGTTATTAATTCAAGAAATCATTTTTTTTTCATTGAACCCTTATCATGGTAGAAAAATTTCTACCATGATACATCCAAGACAATATACCACAGGTCTTAAAATATCTCAAAAAGCAATTAGAACCATGAGGGACAGACATGATCCTCATAGCATGTTATTTAAATTAGGTCATGAATCAAAAGGGACAGACATAATCCTCTTGGACATATAAATGCATTTAATAAAAAGGATTAGAGTTTACATGCTCCATAGACAAGATATGTCCTAAGTTGGCACAAGATACATTGTATAATCCAAAATAAGAGGCAACGTAAAAGATGGTGTCTCATACACCATAATTACACCTCTGGTGCTTTCTCGGCCGGATTCGCTCCTGTAAAAATATTAACCACGGGGAATGAGACTTAAAAGTCCCAGTAACCAAAAATTAATATGTAATGATGCATGCGGATGTAACTAATCATGCGATTGCTAAGTGGGCACACAAAACATTTAACCAAACAATATTTTCAAACAAACCGAACAAGTATTTAATTGCATGACTGCACCTTATCTCCTCCTTTCACCATGCTCGGACGCCAAATCACCCGGCCAAAGGTGAGTTGGACCAAGCGACACGCCACTCATTGGGTCCAATGAGGGCTTACCACGTGGTAATAATTAACCGAACAGAAATTCCCATTAACACCATACATTAAAATACCCTGACAAGTCATGCATCATTCAAATATCCAAACAGGAATATATCCGAACAATAATATCTCATCATGATAAACAAAAATAAATTTTTAACCCACTTGGCAATAATTTCAAACAAGTATATACAGTATTTATTTTCAATAATTCATAATTTTTCCAAACAACAAAACAACACATAACCATTCACAAACACACTCATCACAACACATTAATAATGGTTACCTTGTGTCTTGAATAACAAGTTCCCCTTCACAACTCCTTTTTCACCACTATCTTTGTCAATATAATCTACATAATTATTTCACAATACTATATATTAATTTTACATTAAAATAAATAACTCTAATTTAAAGAGTTAGAAAGTCTTAGATCTATAATCCATATTAATACTAATTTAAGATTTATGCCTCATTTAACTTTCTAAATTCTTTTCTAAAATTCTCGTACCCTAATAAACTATTTTTTTTATCCTCAAATCACTTCTAGTATCACAATTTCATCATTCTATATTCTAAAAATTCGTTCAAAAATAAATTAAAAATTTTAGAATTATCCTGAAACCTCAAATCACCTTTCTATAACCTCAAAAATACCTATTCATACTTAAATAAATATTTAATAATTAGAGATTTATCCCTACATCTCAGATTCCACATAAATTCAACCATATAGATCTAGATTTTAACTCAAAAATTCTTAAACATGAGTTTCAACCTCAATAAAATATTCTATAATATTTATTATATCCCTAAGAGTTTTAACCTATATTTTAATCTATCATATCATCAGATTAACTATCCTATAAAAAAATCCTAATCAAAATATTTACTCTATCCTACAAAATAATCATATCACTAGAAAGCTAATATTATTTAGAAAATAACTATAAAATTAATTTTGTAATTAAATAAATTTTTAAATGCTAATCTAAACAGGAAAGTTAGAACATACCTGAAGAAAAAGAAAATAATCCTCCCTTGCGAGAAAACGCCGAGCAACGTGAGAGGAAGAGAGAAAAATAATATAAAAATGGGATTGTGAGTCCCAAAATTATATTAAAAAAAACTATAGGTTTGAATTTAATTATTCAAACCTTTGGGCCAAAAGTTGCAATTTTCTCTAAATTGCATCTTAGCCTCTCATGCTTCCTAATGCACACACCCCCTCCTTTTTATACATGAAGGCACCTCTTCTCTTCCCTCATCTAACCAATGTGGGACTTAGAAACAACAACCTTCTACCCCCTTTTTTTGTTCCTTCTACCTTCTCTTTTTTTTTAAACACACACATAAAAAAAATTATTTATGTATTATATCTTAACTAAATATTGCTTATGTGGTTTTAAATTTAAATTTTTAAATTCATAATTAAATACCTAATCATAATATTATTTCTAAATAACCTCAAATAATATAAATTCCTATTATTATCATTTTTTTTCCTCAAAACCTAAATTCCACAATTTCTTTATTATATAAAAATCAGGATGTTACAGTTTCCCTGCTTAATATTTTATGTTCTCTTAAGATTAAGAAAAACTTGTTGAGTGTTTATAATTGGCTTCAAATAACAATGCAGATGTTATTTTTAAATCTCATGGTTTCTCTATTAAAGATCAATAAACGGGGGAAATCATGCTACAAGGACTACCAAGTATAGGCATGTTCAAAGTTTATGATGAGAAGGAGGATGGTAGAGCTAAACTCATGTTTGTTACAAAAGAAGAAGATGATCTTTCAATAAATAGTAATAGTATTTACTTAAACAAGAAATTGCGGCATTGTAGGCTTGGATATCCAAGTAATAGAGTAT